CAGGATGTATATGAAGGCCATACTTGACTGTTTCTCCATTTACTCACCTCAACAATACCTTCTGTCAGCATTCCTGGGTATTTTAACGTAGGTCTCTATGGTTTTTTTTAACTGTTTGCTGTATGTATTTTACTGTTTGAATATGTGCATTTTACTGTTTGTCTGTGTATATTTTACAGCATGTCTGTATTGTATATTACTGTATGTCTGTTTGTATTTTACAGTATGGTATAAATCCCTAGACATAACAGAGCCTAGCTCCTACATGAGATTACTTGGTTGTTTAAACCAGTCCTTACGCCCTGGAGTCATTTTGTACCCTCGGGGTTGCATTCTTCGCATTTTAGAATACTTCTAGTGCGAAGATCTCTTTGAAACTTTCAGTTTTTCTCAAAAAAATCGTTTTCACAGACTACTATTCAAGCGGACGGATCAGATTAACGAGTAAATTTCCTCTTCGGAAAGTGGTGGCACAGAGTTCCCCCACGACGTATGGATGCGATAGTTAAAAACACGACGTGCGGATAGGGTTAAATACATACAGGCTTCAGGCCGGTCAGATGAGCTGTGCCCAAGCAGAAAATATCTTGAAAGGAGAGAGGGCAGAAATTGTGCAGTCTCTGAACAGTTCTACATTACGTATTTTTTTTCCTTCTAGATTTGATCAACATTTAGAATTGGCTCCACTCGGTCGCCTGAAAACAAACTCTGTTTTCAGGCAACCGAGTGAGGCGATCGGCCTGACTCGACCCGACGTAGGTACCCCGTAAAGTTGTCAAATGTTGACCTGTTTCTGTGTTTGAATCACAGCACTCCCCAAAACAACCTGCTCTATATTCACCGGTTAATGTTTAAAGGGTTAACTTGCCCTCCCCCCCCTTCCTTTACACACACACACACACACACACACATACACACCCACCCACATAACACATACATGGAAACACCAATACCCACCCACTCCCACACACATACACACACATACACGTATACAATTGCACATACACACACGTACACGCACAAACTCAAAACATACACACACAAGCACCCAGCCACCCAGCCACCCACCCATTAACCGTCCTACTCCCCGAACAATGCTGTGAGATCTCTGCTTACTGCCGAGACACCCCCCCCCCCTCTCCTATGAATATGTTTTATGCTCCGCGGCGCACAGAACCCCAAGAAAGGACAGCATGTGTGCCTATTGAGGGCCAACCTTTTTTCTTGTACGCTGAGGGGCCAACCCTTTCACTGGGCCTGAAAGAGAGGGGGGTGGTGTTAGTGTTAGGGAGGGGGGGGGGGGGAGAGAGAGAGAGAGAGAGAGAGAGAGAGAGAGAGAGGTGAAGAGAGAAAAACATCAATCACCAGAGAGTGAACAACACCAACGTGCGGCCTTTGTGGATGGAAATAGCACACAGAGACGACCGTTCCTCGCACCAACTGATCAAAATGTGACGAAGTCAACGGAAAAAATGTCGGAATTTGGCGTCATTTGGCTAACATTGATTGAGAGATAAGACTTAATAAGAGAAATTTTAAGCTGACGTTTCCAATGGAGACAGACCAGACCAGCAAGCTGTTCCTACAACGACCACTGCCGACCTAGAAAAGACGGATCGATTTGTGACATATGTCGGACTTGTAGATCGCCACGAACTTATCTCTCTCTCTCCTTCTCTCTCCTTCTCTCTCTCTCTCTCTCTCTCTCTCTCTCTCTATCTCCCCCTTCTCTCTCTCTCTCTCTCTCTCTCTCTCTCTCTCTCTCTCTCTCTCTCTCTCTCTCTCTCTCTTTCTCTCTCTCACTCTCTCAT